GCCTTTTTTACAACCTCCTTATTGAGTTGAATCTTAAGACTGACTTAATTGACATTGCTTATTAATTTTTATACTCCTAATCATAGTGCTAACTGTACAACATTCTTTGTATGTATGTTTATAGCTGAGTTGACATTAACATAACAGGAATGCTCTCACTCTCAACTCAACTTAGCTGAATTTGGAGCCCAAATTATATGTTCATAGTTTAGTAAGATGTTCTGTATTTTCTATATGTATACGAGTATGTATGTATATAATTTCCATATGGCTAGAGTATAGGAAAGTAACTTGTGCAAAATTTTCGATAAACTCCTTAAATTTTCCGTCGCCTAATTGATGAACTGGCCTACAAGATAATCAGAAAATGTCACTACTTTTATATGCAAGGGTTCTAGTAGCTTTGAACTTCTTTGGACACGGCTCATACCAGAAATGTGTATGTAACAACGTCAACTTGCCGAAGAGTCAGGCGTCCTTTTCGAGAAGTGTGCGGGCTGTAGAAGAACTGATTGTGAAGGTGAAGGAAGAAGAAATTAAGTTTCCCAATTCTAACAGAGCAAAAAATGTTATAAAAACGTGGCTAGTAATATTGTAATACAAATAGCAATATACTAATTTAAGCTAATTTATTTCAAATATACTCCAGATATTTTAGAAAATTTGAAATAAAAAGCAACATAGAAGCAATTGACTGTACGCATATTGCTATCTTTGCTCCGCCATCAAATTAAGTGGAACGTCCTCTTAATTTATATTAAAATAGAAAGGATTCATGCTTTGTTGTTGCATGCACGTACACCTTACAGTACTCTTCACAGCACATGCGCGAAGGTGTAAGAACAAGTTCAAGATATATAGTATATCAACTCTTTAGTTATATATGTATATACAAAAACCAATCCGTATATGTATTTATATAAATATTCTCACAATTCGACTTTCGAAATACACTATCTACTTGCATTAATTGTTTATTTATTTATTTTTTTTGTTAAAAAAAAAACAAATTGAAATTTGTATTCAATTTTTTTTTTAACAAAAAAACAAAATTTTTAAATTCAATAAATATTAATTTAAAAGTATTACAAGTAAATTATTATTATTTTAATCAAACTTTAGAAATTATTATTATTTTAGAATATTTATTATTAGAATTTATTAATTCCGTTAACGAATCAGCTGGGTCTACATCATTGGCCCTCGCCTCTCCTCTTCAGCAGCATTCCTTTTGGGTATATCAGCTATCAAAGTGCTGATGAGTTTTGTAATGTTGTGTGTACCACCTTCTCCGCACTCACCGTATATTTTTTCCAAAATTGCTGTTAAAAATTTGTTTGCACTTCGCTTCAAGTTGTTATCAACTTTTGCATTTATTTTCTTATTATATAAAAGTATAAAACACAAGTATATTTGAAATTAACCCAAGAGGTTCGCAAAGTTGTAATGTAAATATAAACTTTCGGATTTATTTTCACTACTCATGTATATAATATATAAACGGCTTTAATTTTTAAACGAGTTGCTCGCAGAAAATATAAAAAAGGGTAGAACTTTCGCCTCACAAAAGGTCCAAATATTTTAAAACCAACGATGTGGTTCGCAAAAAATTAAAAAAAAAAACGTTCGCCAAAGGAATCGTGTTGATCGGATGGATGTCGACTCACCAGAGACCTACTTTTTATGTTGTCTGTCCTTTTTTAATTTTGTTCGGCGAAAGTACGTGATGGTATGTGATGTCATTGTGTGTGTGTTAGACCGTGGTGAATAATGCGAGTAACCAATGTTGCATATAAGATGTGGTAACGGGCAGAAGGGGGAAGGCTGAATCTCATTTAGCCATCTTTATTGCGTACACTTCGTGATAACTGCAAAGACAAAGCATCCTTAAAAAAAACGTAATAGCAAATTGCAAAAWTTTTTTATATATTTTGTAATTATATCATAATCTAAAATGACCTGGTTTTCAAAGCTAAGCAATGGTTATGTAGATGGTGTCGATGGACTTACTGTTTGTTCGGGATTTGGGCTTGTTTCTGCATAATTACTGAGGACTATCCGTGGGAGATGAAATTGTTAATTTTGCGCATTCAACGGTCAAAGGCTCCATTGCCATTAAACCAAGGCTTTGGACATACTTTATACCATCCATAGTAGTCGAACCAAATTACAAAGCCTTTTTTTCAAATTCGGTCATCGGCTTGGAGCTTGAACATCCACCTGTGAGCCTTTGACTAATTTTTAACCGCCTTGCACGACTGCACAGTTGGCTTTTCCAAGCGGCTAGCAGCTACAAATTAATACGATATAATAAATAAACGAATATATGTATCACCATAAATTAAAATGTTAAATTAAGGCATTCAGTTCATCACCAACTGTTGCCATAATTCCTTCATTTGTTGAGGCGTTTTTGGGCAATTTTTTCCCGTACCCGCAAAATGAAACTAAGCTTCCAGCTGCTCGTGAGTAGCTCGATCGTGTTTTGGTTTACTATAAAAAAAGTTAAATTAGAAATTTTGTTAATAATTAATTGACTTACGTTGCACTTACGTTGCAGAAGAGTTCATTTTAACGAATAAATATAATTTGAATAGAAATCAGCTGATTCTATTTACATTATTTTGTTCAAAATACGTGTGGAGAAAAGCTTTGCCAACTGAAGCTTTTACTTTTATCAAGATTGCCACAGAATACCAAAATATTTCTTAAAATTATTATTCTCAGAAAAATTTTTGTTTTATTAAAAAAATTCCACATTTCAAATAACTACGTTTAATCATCTAATTAAGATAATAATACTTTATCGTARAAATTTTGAAGTTTGAAAAGCCAACTTTTTGATTATGTGATGATTATTTTTGAGAAACGAAAATTARTTGGTGAAATTTWAGTTYGAATGAAAAAACGAAAATTCCTATGTTAAATGAATGGGAACCTAAAAAAATAGCGACCCCTTAGAGTTAACCTACAGTGCCTGGTTTGAGGAAGGATTTTTGCTTCGTTAATTACTAACATTTGAGTGAGTAAGATTTGAAAAAATTCTACTTTTTTTTTGAAGCACCCTAATATACATATAGCCAACGGAGAAATCAATTTTTTAAAGGAAGCTAAATTTTTGGTCGTAATATTAAATTACACAGGTCTATAACTGTCTCTTATACACATCTATCACCGAAGGCTTTGAAGTTTGAAAAGCCAACTTTTTGATTATGTGATGATTATTTTTGAGAAACGAAAATTAATTGGTGAAATTTTAGTTCGAATGAAAAAACGAAAATTCCTATGTTAAATGAATGGGAACCTAAAAAAAATAGCGACCCCTTAGAGTTAACCTACAGTGCCTGGTTTGAGGAAGGATTTTTGCTTCGTTAATTACTAACATTTGAGTGAGTAAGATTTGAAAAAATTCTACTTTTTTTTTGAAGCACCCTAATATACATATAGCCAACGGAGAAATCAATTTTTTAAAGGAAGCTAAATTTTTGGTCGTAATATTAAATTACACAGGTCTATAAAATTTTTGAACACGGACTGTACATACCTTGTTTTGATACTTTTATACCTCAAGATAACAATGAGAATAAAAAATAATTCWGAATTTGCTTTTATGTATTAAAAGTTCTACTCAAAAGATACACAACAGTTGTACATATACATAATTTTTAAAATATATCGAACATCTMTTTAGGATTCATTCTTACAATAGACATTTTAAATAGACKCCAAATGTTTCAAAATTAAGAGTTTAGTACTCTTCCTTTTATGTTTCGCAGAAGGTAGGAAAGTGATCTTCTTGTTCTTCTAAATAAACCGCACATTATCTCTAAGTCTAAATGAGAATGTAACAGATTGCTCTGCCAGCCATGTGGTTTCCATTGAAACCATGCACTAAAAACTGTTCCAAGCTCTCATTGCAAAGTGAATTCTGCATTACAATTTATAATTTTCTGTACTTGAGGCCCTATAAAGATTACAGCTTTTATTTTCCCTTCTTCAAATATTTGTAAGCTTCGGAGTCATGGTTAAGAGCCATTACCATACACAATTGTTTAAATGCAACTGTCTCATTTAATATTGCATTTCCCACTTGGTAATGGATACATCCCGGGAAATGTTTTTAGTGGTAGTTTGCAGCATCATTCCACTATCCCAGAGAGTGAGAAAGTAGGAGTATTAAGCATACCCAACTTGCTTTTCAGTCAAAAAACGCACCATCTTGCAGTCTCCATTTACTTACCATAAGTACTCATATATTTTAGTGCAGTCAATATCATTTTAATACTGTCGTCATTTTCTTCGAGATATACGGAGTATGTCTATGAAATAAATGGAATTTGTTTCCATTGTGTAGTAAAACATATTTTAAACTTTATGTTGAGCTATCCAAAAAAGTGATAAATTGTTTTAACAGCGATGCCAATTACCTTCCATTATTTGTGGATAGATTTAAGTTTCATATTAAGTCATTGAAATCTTCGAAATTTATGAGACGTGGTATGTTTGTATGTATATGAAAAGCCAAAGCTGTTATTGATAAAAAAAAAAGCAAATATATACTAGTTTATAAAACTCGAACATATTAGTTAAAACCAGCGCAAGGTTGTGAAACGATGTTAATATTATGCGCAAAATCCATTTGCATATGGTATTCATAAAGGAATCTTAGAAATAAATATTGGTAAATCAATTTGCACTCTAAACTCCTATACAATTATACACCTTCTTACCCACGATAGTCCTATCTAAGTAACCGGAACGGTCACGGATTTTTATCTGGCCAAGGGCTGCCAACTCGGCACCATTTCTCGAAATTATTTCAGGAATGTTTTCTCCCACTACAATAACAATGACAGCTTACAGCCATATACAAAAAAGCGGTTACTTTTTCCTCGTTAAAGGCTTTATTGGTGTCAATCGAGCAGATTATCCCAATACATATGTAAACTTGATCACGACGTAACCTGAAAAGAGTCCCTAAATAACGATACCACCACCTCTTTACATAATAATTTTAATGAATGAAATAATTTCAATAAATGCATCTAAAAATGTTCATTTTCTATTTTTATTGACAGCGATTTGAGAAAGAGGCCGACTTGTTTGTCCACGCAAAACATTTTTCGCTCCATTCTGCTGTCCATTCTTATAACGTGATCGAACCTGTCCCCTCACATTCTGATTTTGAACTCCACCACTTACACGTGCTTTATTGATTTCAGACCGATTTCTTGTTTTAGCCTGTGCGTCATCCTTTACCATATCAATTACTTCATCTGGGATCCTCAAGTATTTTATAGTACTACCTCGTACATAGCATTCAGGCATTCGCCAAAATCTATCTCCGTCCTAAAACAAAACACATTAGTTAATTTGAAATTTAGTATCCGATAAATTGACTGTTCTACTAAATATCTAAAATAAATATTCGAATCGGGATTTTAAACAGTTAAGAGCTAATAGAGGAAGTTCTCCAGAATGAAATATGTATACGATTTTTGAGATATCTGAATTTAAAATTCTTAATTTGTATAACTTTAAGATTTCTAATAGGAGGCCCCAATTTCGATATAATCACAAAATCGACAATATTTGTCGAAATATATCCGTTGATGAGTGAGTTGCGGAAATTAAAAA